AGATAATCTATATGTATTGCAGGGACAAAAGGTTCAATGTTCCCATATATATTTAAGAATGTTGCAGAGCATGATTCATGTGTTCATCTTCTACATAGAAGACTTGGCCATGCAAGCTTTAAAGTTTTGCAGCAAATGCAAGAGTTTGCAGAAGGGCTAAATTTGAAGGGATGCAAAACATATTTGGACTGTGCAGTATGCAAAGCATCAAAGTCAAAGGCATTCCCAGTTAGTAAATATAGCACAAGACAAACAAAAAGAACTCTAGAACTGGTCCACGCAGATCTGATGGGACCTATGCAAGCCAGTTTGGGAGGAGCAAAATATGCACTGGTAATTGTTGATGATTAAAGCAGGTATTCGTTTTGCTATTTGCTTAGAGGAAAGACAGAGGTGCTACAACAATTCAAACAGTGGGTAAGTTTTGTAGAGAGAAGGTACAGACAACAAGTGTGTCAGTTACAAACTGACAGAGGTACTGAATTTATGTCAACTAAATTCCAACAATGGTTGGGGCAGTTGGGGATAAGACACAGACGTACAAATCCTTACATAGCAGCAGAGAACGGTGTAGCTGAAAGAAGGAATGAATGAATAATGAAAGATTCATTATTAGAGGATTCTGATATGAGCAGGTCATATTGGGGAGAAGCCATATTGACTGCCAATTATATAGTTAACAGGCTGTGGAGTTCCTCCATTAATAATACTCCATATGCCATTCTATATGGGAGAAAGCCATCACTGGCACATTTGAGAATTTTTGGAAGTACTGCATGGGTACATATTCCAAAAACAATCAGAAGGGACAGAAAAAGGCAAGAAAGTTCAGGTTTGTGGGCTATGAGCCAGGGTCAAAAGGACATCGCTTTAGCGATGGAAGTAAAAGAATTGTAATTTCAAGGTCTGCTAATTTTGCAGAACAAAATTGGGACAGAATTAATGCAAATTCTGGGTATGTCTCACTTAATGACGGTGATCTATTTAATGACAATAACTCATCTAATGATGGAAAATTTTTTATTGAAGATGTCAATGCTCAGGGAGGAGAGGCTGAACAAGACATGAATCCAGATAGACTTGAGACACAGGAGCAGTTATTACCACGTAGGTCAGAGCGATGTAACAAAGGAATTCCGCCTGACAGGTATTCTGCCAGCAAGGTAAAGGTTTACAATGTGTGGTATGAGCCAAGAAGTTATAAAGAGGTGTTGGCATTACCAAAAGCTGAACAAGAAAGATGGAAGGAGGCCATGGATAAAGAGATGAAATCCATGGGAGACCATGAAGTATTTAAATCAGTGACTTTGCCACAGGGAACCAAAGCTGTGGGTTTTAAGTGGGTATATAAGAAAAAGGTATTGCCAAATAATGATGTACAGTATAAGGCCAGGTTAGTGGCACAAAATTTTTTCACAATTAAAGAATGTGCATTACGATGAAGTATTTGCGCCAACTGTGAAAAGTGAGAGTATAAGATTAGCACTGGCGTTGGCAGCGGCATATAAGCATAAAATCTGGCACTTTGATATCACAACTGCATTCCTCAATGCTGAGTTAGAGGAAGAAATTTATATGATCCAAGCACCAGGGTATGAAATTGCAAAGCTTAACATGGTGTATAAATTAAACAAGGCTATTTATGGGCTGAAGCAGTCAGCCAGAAACTGGAATATCTGTTTAGATACTGCTTTAAAGGGTCTTGGATTTAAAAGTTGCAAAGCTGATAATTGTATATATACTGGACAGTTACAGGGAGGGAATTGTCTACTGTTAACATTTGTGGATGATCTTTGCTTCATCGCAAAGGATGCATCACAAGTCAAAGAATTTGCTGATAAATTAGGAAAGAAATTTGAATTAAAGAATTTGGGAGAAATAAAAAAATATCTCGGTGTAGAGATACAGAAAAATGAAAAAGGTGGTTATATTCTCAAAGGAGAAAAATTGAGCAGTTATTGGAAAAATATAATATGAAAGATTGCAATACTGCTCCCACACCCATGAGTACGGATTTTTATAATAGTTTAAGTGCGGACAAAGGTGAAACCTGTGATCAAGAGATATATCACTCAGCAATAGGGAGTTTGTTATATCTATCACAGTGGTCCAGACCAGACATAGCTTGCGCAGTAAGCATTTTGAGTCGTTTTACTGCTGCACCTACAAAGTTACATTGGATGGGTGTAAAAAGGGTTCTCAGATATTTAAAGGGAACTATAAATTTGGGTCTTCAAATACAGATTACTGAGGAATTGAAATTAAAGTGTTATGTCGATAGTGACTATGCAAATGACATAAACACAAGGAAATCAAATTCTGGGATTATAATATTCTTTGGAGGGACTCTGATTGGATGGAAGTCCAGAAAACAAACAACTGTTGCTATTTCAACAGTGGAAGCAGAGTTTATTGCTTTATCTGAATTGTGTTCTGAAGTAACATGGTATGTACAGTTATTGCAAGATTTAAATATTAATGTAAAAGAATCTGTAAAGGTATTTGAAGACAATGCTGCCTGTATAAAAATGGCAACTGGGGACAGGGTGAAGAACAGAAGTAAACATGTAGACATTAAGTATTGTAATGTCAGGGAAGCTATAAAAGGAAAATTGATTAGTTTACATCATTGTTCTTCTGAGGATAATTTGGCAGACATGATGACTAACCATTGGGGAGTGTTCACTATGGAGAATGTATTAAGTCAATAGGTCTGATGTCTCTTTCTGTCATGAAGGGAGGAGTGTTGGAATATTCATGAGCAGGAAGAGTTATGTGGTAACTCAGTCAGCCAATGTGAAGGAAGTGCTACTGAGTCTGTGCAAAAGGTATTGAGTTAGGAGCTGAATTGTCAGTCTCAGGTTTGTCTCTGTATCTCTCTGTAAGAAGTCTTCATTAAGCTATGTTGCTGTAAAGAAGAATGTATGGTATTGTAAATATTTTGATATAAAGAAGTTATTTTGAATCAGCTAAATGCAGTCAACTGTGAGAGCTTCTGATTTATTTTTTCACCAACAGAGAAATTAAAATTCTCTAACAATGCCCATTCCAGAGTGCCCACAACACCACCTTAAGTGACTGGGTGGGTTCTTTCCAAAGGGTTTGGAGCGATGTGAAGAAAGCTTTGAATAAGGCAGCCAAAAACCAGAAAAAATAAGGAGATAAGAAATGAACTCCACAGGAGACATTCCGTGTAGGAGATAAAGTATACTTGTCTACCAAGTATCTTAAGTTGAGACAAAGTTGCAAGAAGTTAGGAACAAGGTTCATAGGTCCTTTCCCTATCATAACAATCATAAACCCAGTGACTGTAGAATTAAAACATAAACCCAGTAATAGTAGAATTAAAACTATCGAGGCTATTACCCATGCTTCCCTGAAAGTAAGGCCTATCCCGAAAATAAGCCCTAGCTTGGTTTTTGGGGGTGGGCCTAATATAAGCCCTACCCCCAAAATAAGCCCTAGTTTTGGGGCAGGGCACACACCTAAAAATCAAGCTAGAGCGGGGATGGGGGGCTGCCCCATGCGCTCCACACTCACTTACCTTGCAGCCAGGCCTCTCCTTGACGACCCACTTCTTCTGCGGCATCTTCTGCAGCCAGGCCTGCATTTCTCAGTCAGAGGCCTTTCCAAAAAGGCCACTGCAGCCGAGAATCGAGCTATGGATTCAATCCATAGCTCGGTTCTGCAAGACCTCTACAGCCGAGAACCAAACTATGGATTGAATCCACAGCTTGGTACTCAGCTGCAGAGACTTTCTGGAAAGGCCTGACTACAAAATACAGGCCAGAATACAGGTGTAAAATGAAGCTGCTCCTTCGACCACAGAAGAAGTGGACTGGTTGGACGAGGCTGTCGGTGCTGGAGGTGAGTATAAAAGACATCCCTGAAGATAAGACCTGGTGCCTCTTTTGGAGGCAAAAAAATAAATAAAAAGACCAAGTCTTATTTTTGAGGAAACACGGTAGGTAAAGTGCACCCAGTGTTCCACTGCAGCTTACTGAAACCACACAAGGGATCCACAATGAGACTAGTAGGGGAAGCAGCCCCCACCCCAATAGTGGTGGAAGGGAAAACGCACTATGAGGTCAAGCAGATCCTGGATTCTAGAATCCACAAGGGAAAGTTGCAGTACTTAATCCAACAGGAGGGTTTTACTCTTTTAATTATCTGTTTCCCAACATTGCGTCAGAGTTAGTAGCTTTCATTCTACCTTGCCAAATTGATCATGCCTAATAAAGTTAATATTGGAGTTCACAATGCCTCTGGTGTTTTTCTCAGTTGGGTTTTTCAGCTGGAATATGACAGTAATTGGATATTAACACATTATTCCTGTCTCTAATTATAATTTGTAAATAAAGTAAAAAGCACTGCTCCTAATGCACATTTTTAAAGAATATCTTCAAAATGTGAACCACCCCAATTTTTTATTCTCTTGAAAGAAGTACCATTCTCTAAGGTAACCTTTTAATTGATGACTGCAATTTGATAACTACAATTTGTCTTTTAAAAGTCCTATCAGTGTTTACTAGATGTTTATCTATTCATACACCTGGTCCCTTCAAAAAATTCTTAACACTGCATAAGAAAGACTATTACTTTTATAGAAGCCAAATAATTATTTTAATAAAGTAAATAAATAAAATATATTGTTTTAATAATGCTTCTCACCATTTTACTTGCCAGTCTGTAACTGAACTCTGAAGCTCAATTCTCTTTTTAGAACTGATATTGCCATTTATCATATTCCAGTACCTGATTCAGAGGCAGAGTACATACTATGTATATGGCTGGAAAGATCTTACCTTCTAGCAAACAAACAAAAAAAAAGTTATTTAGGTGGCTATTCTTCAAGTTCAATAGAATAGGATCCACAAAATATGCTCTTGGGCATTTATTGATTATAGTTTTTAATTATTCAAACTTTTTTTCACGTCTTCTCTCCTGACACTCTAAGCTCCTAGGATGGCTTTAAAAGCCCATCCCTGTCTGATCCTTACCTGTAGAAGCCGTTCTTTGCAAGCTAGACTGTATGTCAAATCCTTAATTTTCTGGTCTTGTCTGTGCATCCTCAACAATGTTCCCTTTTCTAAAGTATAACATTGCATGTTCTTGTTCTGTAGATTTGTTTTTAACTGCTGAAGAGTAGCAAAGAATTCCTAAAAGAAACAAGTCCCATTAGCTTTGAAGCAAATTAGGAAAAGAAAATCCTTCACATGACAAATAACAGAAAAATTGAGTTAAGTTTAGAGGCTGATACATTTAATTACAGCCCAAAATGAAACAGAAATATTTAAATCAAAATAAGGGAGAAACAGAAAATTATATTACTTGCCTGTTTCTTATTCTAGTTACAAGACAAATTAATTTCCTGAGAAAGGAATTCAAACTTGCACACATCATACACACAGTAGCCTTTTTTCGGGATAAATTAAAATTATCACTGAAAGTCAGAAATGCCCCAAACCCATTGGATAATATTAGTTTCAACCAATAATTTAAACAACAAGGCTAAGTTGAATATAGCTGAATAAATGACCTGAGCAAAAAAGCACTGAAACACATTTTGATGTGGTAAAATGTTTTCATAAATGTAGACTGCCTTGCCATCTTCTGAAGATAAAATTTCTCATACTGGTTTAAGGTAGTGTTCTGAAAGTCATGCCATTTTATCTTCTCCTAAACATTTGTTGGGCCTTTACTACTTTGTACCTACTACATGCCCTAACAATGCCTTTTTTTACCATGCTCTTATGATATGCCTGGCTGACAACTTTGATATATAAAAGACAGAGGAGAGAACTAGAGGGACAGCTATACTAGAGTTAGTTCTTACTAACTGGGATAAGATTACTGAGGGAGTAGAAGTTATAGGAACTTTAGGGGAGAATGACTATTTCACCATCATGCAACTACATGTAACTAAATCAAGTCAGGCCAATGTTTTGGACCATGGATCCCAACCCCGGGCACCAGCCCATTACTGGGGCGTGAGCTTTTGCAACCGAGCCACAAAAGCAGCGGGCAAGCACATGCATGCATCCCCACTTACTCAAGCAATGAGTAAGCATGTGTGAACATGTCCCATTTGCGTAAATGACAGGCAGTGTACCCGCCACTCGCTCAAATGGAGCTGTGCATTTGCTTGCCGGCTGTTCATGTAGAACCATCCCCTCCCCCTCCCACTGGTCCGCAAAGCTGGAAAGTTGGTGAATTCTGTTTTAGTCTTTCAGAGAGCTGATACAACAAGCTGAGAAAGAGATTAGGAAGGATTGCATGGATGGATATCCTAAAAGGAAAAACATTTCAAGATGCTTGGGAAGTCCTGAAAAATGAGATAATGAAGGTCCAAGCAAAAACAATATCACAGAAAAAAACATCAGATGAGACCATTATGGTTGCATAACATGCTGTCTGAAAAATTAAAGGAAAAAGGTTAAATATAAAAGAGGTACACACAACTAAAACAGAATACCAATAAATAGCCTGAATCTGCAAGGTCCAGAATCAGCTAAAATTATTGCTAATAATAATAATAATAATAATAATAATAATAATAATAAGAAGAAGAAGAAGAAGAAGAAGAAGAAGAAGAAGAAGAAGAAGAAGAAGAAGAAGAAGAAGAAGAAGAAGAAGAAGAAGAAGAGGAGGAGGAGGAAGAAGAAGTTTCTTTCAATATGTAAGAAACAAAAAGAAAGTCAAGGAAACTATTGGTCCTCTAATAGAAGTAAATGGTAAGAAAGTAACAGGCAGCAAGGAGAAAGCAGAACAGCTTAATTCTTTCTTTGCATCTGTTTTTATGCAAAAAGAAGAAATAGCCCAACCTATCAAAAGCAGTACTGAGGGAGGTAAAACAGGTACATAAGACAAAATAGACAAGGAATTAATAAGAGAATACCTATCCACTCTGGATAAGTACAAAACACCTGGGTCAGATGGTTTACATCCAGGGTAAGTAGCTGGCAGATGTAATTTGCCAATGAATATAATCTTTTAAAGCTCATGTAACACAGGAGAAATAACAGAGGACTAGAAAAGAGTTAATGTGCTTCCAATCTACAAAAAATCTACAAAAAAGGAGAAAAATGAATCCAGGGATCCTGGAAAAGTTAATCAAATGAGGATTTGTGAGCACGTGAGAGATAAAGAAGGTGATTACTAGAAACCAGTGTGGAATTGTTATAAACAGATCATGCCAAACAAATGTTATTGCCTTTTTTGATAAAATAACTAAATTAGTGGATTAGCGAAATGCTGTGCTAGATAGTATACTTGGACTTCAGCAAGGTTTTTGACAAAGTAGACCACAACCTACTTCTTTGTAAGATAGAATAATGTGGGATGGTCAGAACCACCACCAGATGGATTAGCAATTGGCTGACCAATCACACTCAGCAGATTGTCCTCAATGGAACTAGAACTACCTGAGGGGAAGCATGCAATAGGGTACCCCAATAGAAGTGGAACTCATTGCTTATCATCAAACTGGGTGAAATTGCTAACACTTTGGAAGATAGACTCAATATCCAGAAGGACCTTGACAGACTTGAACACTGGTCCCTATGCAGTTCAGTGGAGAGAAAACCAAGGTCCTTAAGCAGAAAAAACCAAATACACAAGTATAGAACAGGCAGTACCTAGGTCAACAGTAGCAACTGTGAGAGAGATCTAGGTGTCCTAGTAGTCCATCACTTAAGTATGAGCCAGCAGTGTATTGCAACTGCCAAAAAAGCCAATGCAGTCCTAGGCTGCATCAACAGAGGGATAGTACCATGGCAATGAGAAATGATAGTACTGCTTTACAGTGCACTGGTGAGATCGTATTTAGAATACTGTATCCAATTCAGAAATGTTTTTGGACAGCAGTGGCTCATGGCTTCAGAACGGAAATGAGCGTTGCCCCCTATAGTCGGCAACAAACAGAGGAGTAAAATCTGCAGGGACTCCTTTCTTTTCCTTTCTCTAACTGGGAGGATTATGCACTAACAATATGGTTCATGTTTCTCTCCTCTGATTGTGATATAGATGATTCAGAAAAGGTATCTTTCACCTTTATTGCTAAACCAATTATTCAAAAAGCATACCTTATTATGTCTCCAAGCTGCTTCTTTTTGTAGTTGTTCTTCTTGCAATGCTGTCTCTAGAAAGTGGCTGGTCCTTTTAGCCTCAGCCAACTTGCGATCCTTTTGCTGCTGGGCATATTTCAATTGTTGTATTTCCAACTGACTGAAGAAAAGGGCATTCTGTATATCAAGAAATGCTACCTTTTGTTTCTGTTGTAAGCCCTCTAAGTTCTAAAAAGATTCAAAAATAAGAAACAGAACAGAGGCAGTTTAGGCAATCCCTTGTCATTAAAATGATGGCATGAACATAGGTTTTATGCATTCTATCTTTAGGCATCAGAGATTGTTATATTCATTGATTTATGATGACAATTGGAATTGGAACTTCTGTTGCTAAGTGATGCAATCCTTAAGTTGCTAAGCGATGCGATCCTTAAGTGAGTCATGCCTAATTTTACGCTTTTTGCTGCTCTAGTCATTAAGCAAATTGCTCACACTGGTTTATCAGAAGTCCCCATGTGAATCTGGGATGCTGCAACCATCATAAATTTATGCTTGTTACCAAGCACCCAAATTTTGCTCACAATCAGAGGGATGCTTCAATAGTCATAAGTGGGAGGCCCAGTCATAAGTAATACTTTTCAGTGCTGTCATAACTTTGAAGGGTTATTAAATGAATGGTTGCAAGTCAAGAAACCTGTACTGTGATAATATTGGGTCTATTTCTTTGAATAATTAATATTCTCTGATTTCTACCTTCTAATCATGATTCTCCGGTCACTGCATTTTTTAATATTTATGTGACCATTGTTGCTTTCCCACGTTAGGATTCTACTTCATTCTCTGAGCACTATTGTGTAAACATTGGAACCTACAGATGTCATTGCTGGGTCATCTCTCTATCATTGGAAATTGGAGATTTATAGTTAGTATTTCCTGGCTCGTGACTCCTCTATGAGGATATAAGCAGCTACATTCCTGGGCTCTTTGCCTTTTCTCCTGTCCTCTTCTTTAAAACCATTCTGCTAAGGTTTGCAAGGTTCTAGCCCAGTGTTTCTCAACCTTGACAATTTTAAGGCATGTGGACTTCAACTCCCAGAATTCCACAGCCAGCAACGCTGGCTGTGGAATTCTGGGAGTTGAAGTCCACATGCCTTAAAATTGTCAAGGTTGAGAAACACTGTTCTAGCCAAACACATTTCTGTCTACCCTCATAAGATGAAACCCATTTATGCTTCAGAGTCTTACACTGATGAATTAGGTCCTGAAGAAGGAATCCGGTTTGTTTGTTTGTTAGTTTGTTTGTTTATACTTTTTAGCTTCCCAGCTCATACATAGGTGACTCTGGGTGGCTTACAACATCTTCTTAGCAATTGTCTTCATATATTTTAACACACAATTCAACATTCTAAAATCCTGAAGTATTTTTAAACTAGTAAATCTGTCAATTTCTTTCTACTGCAGACTTTAAACTGTAGACAGCAGATCACTACTGTATTGTTCTACCTGCTCATTTTAATTATTGACTATAAGCAGGTAAACAATTAGTTTCCAAAGTTCTTAATTATTTAAACTTTTCCTTAGGAAAAGTAATATCTTTGCATCTTATAATATACTACTGTATCATCTGTGTTAATACTGGAAATGTTTTAGCTGGCATATTGCTCTTTTTGGATTTAACAAGGAATTTTTTTTTAGTGTACATTATATTTTAGCATACATTAGGGTTAATCATCTTGTAAAACTCAAAAATAATACTGTAAACTCTAATTTTTGGAGAGATATAAACAAAAATGATAATTTGTAAAAAAAAATTCAAGTAAAAGCCATACCTGTAATTGCCCAAGCTGATTCTTATGTAGCACATCTTGCAGTTTGGCTATTTTCTCATTCTGGTTATGAATTATATGATTTAGTTCTTCACACTACAGGAAACAATGGCAATTCTAAATTCACAAAGAGTATTTTCAGTTTTACTATATCTTGATAGTTGACTACATATTTATTGGAAGTGATATGAATCAAAATTCTTGATTGTTATTATTTGCAAATAATATTGAAAGCTGAGAAGAAAGCATCTATTTGAGGGGCTGCCACAAAGAAAAGGGGGTCAACTTATTTTCCAAAGCACCAGAAGGCAAGACAATGGATAGAAGCTAACAATGGATGGAAACTAATCAAGGAGAGAAGCAAAAATTAAGGAGAAACTTCCTAACAGAATGATTAACCAGTGGAACAGTTTGCCTTCAGAAGTAATGCGTGCTTCATCACTGGAGGGTTTTAAGAAAAAACTCAACAACCACCTGTTCAGTCTCCTGCTGGAGCAGGAAGTTGGACTGAAAAACCTCCAAGGTCCCTTCCAGCTCTGCTCTGCTCTGCCCTACCCTATCCTAATTATATTTCAGTCATTGTAAGGACCCACCCCACTTTGCATCTTAAGAAGACAGAACTCTTGGAATAATTCTTCCAACAGGAATCCTTTATTAAGAGAAAATGGTTGCAGGCGTTCTAGACAGGACTTGGGGTCCAAGCTCTCCCATTCAAGGTTTTAAGGGGTTCCCCAGTAGTCCCACCCAATCACCCCCCTCTTCCAGTGACAGTTTCAGGCATCACAATCCCACCCCTTTTCCTTTCTGCCGGCTGGATGGAGACTTCAGAGAAAACTACATGAAAGGTAAATAGCCTCCTTTGTTATGATAAGGCCTTTTGGTGCTATCCACATTCAATCCCTTTGAAGTTGTACTGAAGGAAGTGAGGGCCATAAAGCCCCCTTGTTCACCCCCTTCCCTTTCTTGTATGACAGAATCCAGAGAGGGCAGAAATGGGGTTTTCTATAATTGATAACTGGAAATGAAGTATAATTGGATTCTGACAATCATTAGATCTATATCAGTATTTATTCTTCAAAGAATTACAAACCTCATTTTCCTTGCTCTTCAATGTCTCTTTCAATTTCTGGGTTAGGTGATCCTGTTTCTTGGATGTATGCTGGACAGATTTCAATTCAAAATCCATTTCATTCACTTTTTCTTGGAGCTGCTAAATACCATAAATAAATTTATATCACTAATTTAATTTTGATATTTATTTCTTGTATTTAAGAAAAGGCGAACTAATAGCAAATTGTCTTGCAACTTGAATTATCATAAATATAATTAAGTACAATAAAGCATGTAAATGTTTCAGCAGGAAGCTATTGCCTTCTGCAGACACTAGCATTATACATATATGCAAATTGAAGGGAGAGTAAGAAGCAGTCTACATATCCAGCTTGCTCTGTCTGTCACACTCTGATTTGAGTGCGCCGTTTCTCTCATTTCATTAGCTTTGCAAGTACAGTATACATTTTTCTTCTATAACATTTTTTATTAAGGGAATAAATAACTGAATAAAGGAAAATATTAGCAGATTCATGTAACAAGGAAAGGATTATATTCTACTCTGGCACAAAATTGGAACTACTTTTTTCATTTGGGGGCTTACCACAAATTTAAGCTCAACAATGCAAAAAATGGCAAATGGTTATCTGTATTATAAACAAGAATTTATTTTTCTGTTCAAATCTATATCTATATCATGCAATAAATACTTCATTCCTCAATTAATTTGTTTTAGGTCAGCCACAAAAAATATGGAAAATTACTCCAAATCAGAGGAGAAAAATTACAGAAAAATTAAGATTGATATAATTTCTTCACAAACTAGATGTCAGTTTTTCTGAGGCCTGAACTTAGATGCTAGTTTGTTAAGCTTACTGGATAATTCCCATAATATTACTTTCAATGTGCAGTTACAGTTATAAACATATATTTACAGTCCAGATGAGTTATGGTAATACTTATGGAAAGAAGGTGTGCCCACCAGATGGCACATTAGCTTACAGCAGCTTTTCAGATTTCCATACAGGAGTTTTGCACTGAAAGATTTGCTAATTTAGGAAGAGATATTCTATACAAACAAGGCACTCATCTTGATTTAACCAAATAATACTTAACTTCCAGATAGCAAGAACAAAAGAAGGCAAATGAATGGCTGAAGATATTTTCAATTAGGCAGAAACTCAATTTCTTTGTAATTGAATCAAAAATAAACTTAGCTAAAGTTTATTTAATCAAAAATTTAGAATACCGGTAACTAAATTTTCACCAGAAACCCCAGATCACTCTATAGCTACTGACCTTCAGATAATTTTGAATCACATTTATTTAAGGCATCATCAATATGCCTTTATAGCAGGCACAAAATATTACAATATGGATTAACAGTCAAAAATTATTTCTGTATTATTTTGTATTACTGCTATATGAATGTACAAGTTGGATCTTGAAGATAATATATTTGAACACTCTGCTCACTGCTGAAAGCCACTGCTATAGCATCTCTCCAAAATAGCCATCCAGCCTTTCTTTTAGCACCTCCTGTAGGAATTTTTTCCTCATGTTCAATTAAAATAAATTTTTTGTAATTTAAATCTACAGTTATTTTACCTGTTCCCACAAAACAACTGAACAGTTTTATCCCATTTTCTAGATCAGGGTTTTTCAAACTGGGTTCTGTGGGCACCTGATGTGATTCCATTAAAATTCGTATAAAATAAAAATTTACTTGAACAAAGCCAATTTTCTATCGATAGAGCTTTGCCAACTGGGGGGATTCAGGATTAAAAAAAACTAACAGGTCCTATGGCTGAAAAAAGTTTGAAAATCCCTACTCCGTATGACAGTCCTTCAGATTCTTATCTCCCTACAGTTTTCTATTCTCCAACTAAATATATTCAACTCCTACAACCATTGTTCCTATATTTTTCTTTCCAGGCCTGTTACTCTCTGGACTCCTTGTTTTTCAATGTCCTTCCTAAAATGCGTTGCTGAGAACTGGCTGCATTCAATCAAAAAAATATTCCTCCTCTGCATCCCTGTAAGTTATTTCTTCAAATGCTGCCAACTGTTCTATTTTCACCTATTTCTCCTGGACATTTGACCCTTAGTGGAGTACACATAGCTTTGCCCTGTGCTGCCAGGTGCAGACATATACTAGTACAAGCAGGGAGTACAGAAATACACAACACTTCTTTATACAGAAGAAAATACAGATGCATCCGATGGCTGCTACTGGTCAAAGGATTGGGAAGAATCTCAGAAGCTATATGTCTACACTTTCCCTGCCTTGCTGCATCACATGTTGACTCATTCAGCTACCAAGACACCTCAGATTTTTCTTTTCATGCACTGTTGTGCCCACCATCCTGTATTCATATTTTTGATTTGACTCTGTTAAATTTCATCATGCTGGATTCTACACAATTTTTCAGCTGATTAAGATCTTCCTGCCCTGTAACGTATTTGCTTAATTGTTTCCAACCTTGAAAACCAAAACTACTAAGGTGTATTCTAGCCAGCATACTGACTGAAGATGTTACATTTAGAAACAATTTTGTTGTGCCCAAGCTAATTTTCAACATTTTTGAAATTAAATAAATACCTTATTCATAGCCTTTAAAGAGCTGATTTTCTCCATACCTTCTGTATCATTTAATACAGTTTCCTCTTTACTAAATGACATGTTGCAGTAAGTTAGCTGCTGATTAGCCTCAAACATATTCTGAAGAGACAAAGAGAATAAAAAAAATAGTATTTGTTATATCATTTCACTAAAACTGTTTGGAAGAGGCAAAGTGCAGCATTTATACAAAGTTCCGCATCTTTTTTTTTTTTTTGTAAAAAAAAAATTATTTTCAATTTTACATTACATTCATAAAAAATACTTCATATAAAGAGTAAAATAAATTTATACACACAACTTTCAGTATTGCTCACCCATTTCCCCCCAAACCGCATCCACCCTCTAACCCAGCAGTTCTCAACCTGTGGGTCGGGACCCCATTTGGGGTCGAACGACCATTTCACGGGGGTCACCAAACAACGCAGTCCGCCATTTTCCCCCCCTTTTCCTTAGCTGTGCTACTCCCTTTTATTCCATTGGCTTTTGAAAGCCAATAGAATAGACTCTCTTGAATAGAGTATAATTCTATTGGCTTTCAAAAGCCAATAGGAATTGTCCAGGCTGTCTCTGCCCTGCTGAGCCCGCCAAAAGTCCCATTCTGCAAACGATGCTGCACCAGTTGAGTAGTCCTCGACTTATGACCAGTTGAGTAGTCCTCGACTTACGACTGGTTGGGGGTCGCGGCATTAAAAAGGTTGAGAACCACTGCTCTAACCTCTTCTCTCACTTCCCTCTTTCCCTCTTCTTCCTCACTCTCCCCCTCTCCTCCTTCTCCTCAACCTTCCTACTTACTTCTCCCCTCCCTCCTATCTTCTCACTCCGGATGCAGTCTAGGGGAAATGCCCGAGCAATTCCTCTCTCCAAATTAAAACATCAATATTATATACAATAAAACTATTTCTACTTATCTGAGCTATTTAACCTCCAACCCATCCTCCCCCCCCTCCTCCCCCCCCCACTTCCCAGAGCCAAGTACAGGGTTATACAAACATATTAAACATAATCTATTTTAAGTTTACTAATTATACAATAACCAAAATCAACTTAACCCTTAACTCTCTTCAAACTTTAACATCATAATTTTATAAACAAATCCATTACTCATAAAATAAATGAAACTTTGTAGTTCCATATTTCTTCTGAACATATTCTATCCATCTTCTCCATACAATAACATATCTCTCTTGTGAATGGTCCTTTAAATAAGCAGAAACTTTAGCCATTTCTGCTAAATTAGAGAACCTTAAATACCCATTCTTCTAAAGAAGGCAGAGAGTCTTTCTTCCAATATTGACCCACCAATAATCTTGCTGCTGTTATTAAATTCAACATTAAAATAGTTTCTTTAGCATCAAAATCCACAAAAATACCCAAAAGAAATAACTGGGGAGTAAACTTAATCTTCCTTTTAAAAACCTTTTGAATGTTCCACCAAATCATAATCCAAAAGGCTTTAATATTTTTACAAGTCCACCAAACATGAAAATAGGTTGCATCCAAGCAACCACATCTCCAACATTTAGGTTGCAGGTTCGGGTACATACAAGACAACTTTTTAGGATCCAGATGCCATCTATAAAATATTTTATAAAAAATTTCCCTCAAATTTTGAGCCTGCGTAAATTTAACATTTCTAATCCAAATTACCGTATATGCCGGCGTATAAGGCGACTTCCGCGAGCGCTAAAATCGGCGCCAAAGACGGGGGTCGTCTTATAAGCCGAGTCGTCTTATACGCCGGAATTACTGGTAGTTTCCGGCGTATAAGACGACGTTCTAGGAATGCGGCTCGGCGATAAAGACGGGGATCGTCTTATACGCCGGGTCGCCTTGTACGCCAGCATATACGGTACCTCCCATAAATCCAACGAAATCGGTTCCTGAATATTCTGGGCCCATTTAATCATATAATCTTTTACTAACTCTGTTTCCGAATCCAATTTTATTAACTCATTGTAAATTCTTTTAATATGAGCATATTTCTGATCTTTAATCTGAATTACCAAATTTTCATCTGCTAAAGTAATTCCCACTTTCTTATCTAAGGTCCACCTCTCCACTATTTGCAAATACTGAAACCATGATTGTAAAATATTTTCTTGCCTTAGCACATCTGAAGACTTTAGTTGCCAATCAGTACCTGACCAAATAAGTAATTCTTTATACAAAATATTATCAAAATTCATCCCCTTAGAAACCCCCTGAATTGCTTGTCCAGGAATCCCCCAAATAGGTATTTTATAATTTAACTTATAATAATACTTCTTCCAAACTCGAAGTAAAGCATTTCTTAAAATGTGTGACTTAAAAACCAGATCTATTTTCTTATCAAAAATTAAATATGCATGCCAACCATATAATAAATCCCAACCTTCAAGAGCAAGAATATTTTTATTTGTTAAATTAAGCCAGTCACTTACTAAAGTGGCCGCATCATAATATAATTTCAAATTAGGTGCTTTAAGTCCACCTCTTTCTCAAGCATCTTGTAAAATCTTAAACTTTACCCTTGATTTCTTCCCACCCCAGATAAATTTACTGATACCCTTCTGCTACTCATCCAAATTAGCATCCTTTTTTAAAATAGGTATCATCTGAAACAAAAAAAGAAACTTTGGTAGAACATTCATCTTTACTACTTAAATTCTCCCCAGTAACGATAGTTATAATTTTTGCCAATCATTTAAATCTTTTTGTACTTTTACCCATAAGCGTTCATAATTATTCTTATACAATTTTCCATTAGATGTTGTAATATATATTCCTAAATACTTAACCTTATTAACTACTTCATAACCTGTTGCTTCAACTATAATATTTTTCCCTTCATAGACATATTTTTCAATAATATTTTAGTTTTATTCTTATTCACCTTAAAACCAGAGACCTGTCCATACTGTGCTAAAATTTCAACCAAGTCTCTGACCGAATCTGTTGGATGGGATAACGTCACAACCAAATCATCAGCAAAAGCTCTCAGCCTATAATCAATCTTACTTATTTTTATTCCTTTTAATCTAGATGAATCTCAAATTTTAATGAGTAAAATCTCCATTGTTAATACAAATAGCAAGGGGGATAAGGGACAACCCTGCCTCGTACCTTTTTCTATTTTAAATACATCTGTTAATCCCCCATTAATTATAATTTGTGCCGATTGTTGCTGATATATGGCCTTGAGAGCACACAAAAATTTGTCTCCAAAGTTCATTTCCTCTACGACTTTCAATAAAAATTTCCAGTCTAATTGATCAAAAGTTTTCTCAGCATCTATAAATATTAAAGCAGCAGGGATTTGGTTGTTCTTATCCAAATACTCTATTAAATTAACAATTTGTTTTACATTATTTTTCATATATCTTCCCATTATAAATCCAGATTGGTCAGTATGAATCAATTGTTTCAAAACCGGCATTAATCTATTTGTTAGTATCTTTGCAAAAATCTTATAATCTGTATTTAAAAGAGATATAGACCTATAATTTCTAGGTTGGGACAATCCTGGTCTTCCTTTGGAATCAATGATATGAAGGCCCTTCTCCAAGATGGAGGTAGCTCTGCTCCCGACAAAATGTCATTAAAAAGTTCCTTTAATGGTTCTATCATTTCTTCAGATAGCATCTTATAATAAATTGCTGTTAGTCCATCAGTACCTGGAGTCTTGCCAACTTTCAATTGTTTACTTGCAGAAATAATCTCTTCAGAAGTAATTAAACCATTAATCCCATCACGTTGGTCAATCATAAGTCTAGGAAAATGTGCTTCCTGTAAATATTTTTCTATGTCTGAAATTTGTATAGTTTCACTAGCGTATAACTTTGAATAAAAATCTAAAAAAGTCTTTTGAATCAAATTTTGTTGATACACTTCTTTACCTTTATAAATTATTTTATCTATAGTCCTCGATTTCTGTTTCTTACGTAATTGATAAGCCAACCATCTACCAGGTTTATTTGCATTACAAAATGTATTGTGTTTCATATACCTCAAATTAGTTGCCATCTGATCCTCTATTAATATATTAAATTGTTCCTTAAGCAGAGTTATAGAAAATTTTAAGTTATTATCTATTGGGTTTGATATTAAAATCTTTTCCTTACATTTAATCTCATCTTCCAACTCTTTACGTTTTTGAGTCTGTTTATGTCTATGACCATTATTCATAGAAATCAAAATCCCTCTCATATATGCTTTACTAGAATCCCATATCATTGGCATCGAGGTACCCTTATTCATGTTCCAATCAAAAAATTCCTTTAAATAACCTTTACATCTCTGTATATTCTCTTCATATCTAAATAAATTCTCGTTCAACCTCCAAGACCTTCTAGTCCCTTCTTCCAGCGAAATTTCCAACCATACAGGACTATGATCTGAAATTATTCTAGGAAATATCTTGGTATTCTTCACCCTAGAAAAGAAATCATTAGTAATTAAAAAAAAGTCAATTCTAGAATAAGATTGGTGCCTATCTGAGAAAAAGGTAAAATCTTTTTCCTCAATGTTCCGTTCTCTCCAAATGTCTCTAAGTTCCAAATCATCCTTTAAATCAAAAATAGCTTTAGGAAGTGTTGCATGATTAGAGACTTTAGAAGAACCCTTCTTATCTTTACTTGAATCTAAAACACCATTCCAATCTTCCATCATCATAACTGACTTGTAATCCAAAGAAATTAATTTCTGGTGAATTATCTTGTAAAAATATTTTTGTTGTTGATTGGGAGCATATAATCCAACAAGAAGAGTTCTCTTATCATTTATTAATAAATCAATAATGACATATCTTCCTTGTGGATCAAAATCAATTAGTTTCGGTGAAAGCTCCTTTCTCACATAAATAACTACACCTCCTTTTTTCTGCAAAGCAGGAGCTATGAAATGTACCCCCAACCAGGGGTTAAACAAATATTTTTGATCTTTAGAAATAATATGAGTCTCTTGTAAACAAATAATATCATTTCTGTGTTGTTTCAAATAATGAAAGACTTTCTTTCTTTTCTGTGGTGAATTGAGACCGTTAACATTCCAGGTGAGAAGCTTTTAGGAAGAGAAAAAGGTCCAGGACGTTTTGAAGCCATTTTTTAAAATAGAAAAAAAAAATTTAAAGAAAATTTAAAAAATAATAAAATAGGAATAAAGGAAAAGAAAAAGCAATTTCCCCTTTAAAAAGAATTTTCTTTAAATAAACCAAGTCTATTACGTTGTTGAAACTTTGTTGCCAGTTAAAAATAGTGAATGGAAAGTAGAAAGTGAAAGTTCTCAGACAAAGAAAGTAACAAAGAAGCAGGATTCCTCCACCATATTTCTTCACTCCGATTAAAGTAATAATAGGAGATGTTAATTCTCACTGAGTTAAGTTTAAAATAAAATCATCCAATTCTTGTTTTCCTGACTGCTCTGTCTGCTTTTAAATTAACTTACAGTTTCCATTTAAGCAGCAGCAGTGGAGGCAGTGTCTAGCTTCGTTCTCCCGCCGGAGAACAAAGGCGTCCAGGGAAGCGGAGCACACCCAGACTCCGAAGGAGCTCTCACTCTTCGTCTCTCAGGAAAAAATCTCTGGGAGATTAGTGAGGCTCTACTTCTATCCAGGAGAAGGCTCACCTTCCTCCCTTCGCCCGGGAGGAAGGTTTCAAGCCGCAAAACAGCTGATCGGCGCTGTTTTGCCGGCTTTTACACTTTCCTGTGACGGACGGCTGTCAGAAAGCCGCCATCGTCACGGCGCAGCCACCAGAAGCCTCAAACATATTCTGATTAGCCTCAAAACATATTCTGAAGAGACAAAGAGAATAAGAAAAATAGTATTTGTTATATCATTTCACTAAAACTGTTTGGAAGAGGCAAAGTGCAGCATTTATACAAAGTTCCGTATCTTTTAAGCTGCTGAACTTGAGAAGATTTTTTAAAGCATCATTATTTTTTTTCCTGGATCATGAAGCTGAAACATTCACCTTCTTTAATAAATAGCAGAGAAGGTGCTGCAATTACATAAGTTCGAAGGCATTTTTTGCAAATAATTTCAAAATATAAAGTATACACACCCTTAGGCAGACATCTTTCACTAAGATATACAGTATCTCTATAAGAGAGAAGTAAAATTAGTTTTTTAATGGAATGCAGCTTGTCTTCTAATATATTAGCTACATCAGAATAGCTAAATTTATAGATGAGACATTCAGTTAAAACTCTGTTATATTGAACAGATTGGGGTACCATATAAAGGTGATATATTTATCTGATTATTGATTCTTTGTATTTAGTATACTGTATATGTATTTTACTATTATATTTTCTTTTATCTGTTTTATCCTGGAAATAGACCCTTTATTTTACTTTTATTGTCTTTGATGTGCTCATAAGACTGTCTATCTATCTACTTACCTACTTTTTCAACCACTTTTTAGCCTGTTTGAGCCCCCTTTTCCGTACTTGTGATAAATTTAAGCAACTCACCCTAGATTAGATATCAATATAGATAAAAAGTACCTGTTTAAGTCCAACAGATCTTTGTAACATTTTATTTTAAGCAAGACTATGTTATTGAATTCAGTAGGATTTCTGAATGCATGCTTAAGATAGCATATACATATTAAAACTATAGAAAGCAGCTTTGCTTTCACAAATTCTAGAATATTTGTAATTTCATGATTTTAATAGAATTCCTGAAGATGTTGCAAGAAGATAATCTCCGGCAAAGCTCAATTCTGTGTGTGATACTATCTCTGCATTTCCACCATGCAATTAACTTAACTAAGTGAAAAAACTAGGATAAAACAAAATTGCTGAAATTTACAATTATTACTCAAAAACCAGCTGCTATACCATAGCTACAGGCATCCTTCTACTTTCTAAGGTAACGAGCCCTGTGGCGCAATGCTTAGAATGGAGTATTGCAGGCTAACTCTGCCCATAGTCTGAAGTTCAATCCTGACAGGTTCAAAGTTGACTCAGCCTTCCATCCTTCCACGGTTGGTAAAATGAGGTCCCAGATTGTTGGGGACAATATGCTGACACTGCAAACCACTCAGAGAGTGCTGTAAGTCTAAGTGCTACTGCTATTGCTAACTGAAATTAGCATTTATTGCTATATAAATATAGATATGATAGATATATAAATATAAAGCCAGTTTGGTCTAACAGTTAAGACATCAGGTGAGAAACTAGAAACTGTGAGTTCTAATCTCACCATAGGCATAAAAGCTAGCTGGGTGACTTTTGGCCAGTCACTCTCTCTCAGCCCAACTTGCTTCATACAGTGGTTGCTGTTGAAGGGAAAGTAGTAGGAGGAAAGAGTATTATGTATGTTCACTGTCTTGAGTTGTTTATAGAAATAATAGACAGGATTTAAAAAATCTAACAAAATGCAGTTAGAGGTACTATTTGTTAAGAATAGTCACATAATGTGTCAGTAAAATTTATAAAATTTTGTTAACGAAGTCAATGAAATTCATAATGCAATCTCCTTACACATGATATCTAGCATGCCAGTGAGGACAATCTGAAGTGATATATTTTTATGACAATTGCTAGCAATTCCCTTTAAAAAAAACTACAGAAGATATGCCATTTTTAATGTGAATATCCTAATCAGCTTATAGCTAGCACAAATCTGGACTAAAGAACTCAACTCCACAAGAATTTTTAAAGAGATAAATCTTATTTCACATGTAAGGCAGAAAATAACATTCATTTTAATCATTTGCAAACCAAACATAACCAAAGGCTAAAAGAAAAAAAAACTTCAGGCAAAAACAGCAGAAAACAAACATGCAATTTTCAGAATACAACAATAATGGGTGAAGAAAGCAAGCAGTAAACTGTAGTGCAGTGTTTCCCAAACTTGACAATTTTAAGGCATGAGGACTTCAACTCCCAGAATTCCACAGCCAGCAACGTTGGCTGTGGAATTCTGGCAGTTGAAGTCCACATGCCTTAAAATTGTCAAGTTTGGGAAACACTGTTGTAGTGGATGAAGCAAGCAATAAACTATAGGTGGGTTACAAAAATATTGCATCTCAAGCCAAAAGTGAATCAAAAGTACAGGATGACAATATTTGAGAATTTGAAAAGCAGAATTGGAAGAAATAATCTTCTACCTTAGTTTGAAGTGGAACATAATCCATACATAAGTCTTCCCACAATTCCTGAAGATCGGACATCTCCAAGGGAAAAGCTAAGGCAAAGCCAGGTTGAGATTTCAGCACATCTGGGAAGCCAGAAGAAGAGTTTTTATCCAGGCTCTGGCAATGAGAACTTGATTTTACAGGAATAGGTAACTTGCTCCCTCTGGGACTCTGGACTGGCTTGCAGTCAAAAGCTTTCACCAAATTAAGGGCTACCTCTAACCTGTTGCCCTGAAATGACAAGCTTTGAGCCCCACAATCATTTATACAGTTACACATCGCGCTTCTCTTTGCCTCTGTGTCCGTTTCCTCCTCTTTTGGATGTAATGCACCAGCGTTTGCATCCAACGACTCAAGGGACGATTCGGGAGTATCCCCTTCCACGCTTTTTTCATCCAAAGGCGCCTTGACGCTTAACAAGTCAGTAATTACTGGCTCACATATAAGTAAGTCTTCACTACAAACGTTGGCAGAACACCTGGATGATCCACAGGAGAGATTTCTTGCCACCTTTCGTGGGATTTTGCAAATTGCCTCATAATCAGCATCAGTAACGCGGAGCACAGCGCAACCCCGACATCGCCTAGGACGGCTTTCTGCAGCGTGACACGCTTGTGGATCTCCAACTCGTTCCTCGGGCTCTGTCCAGGATTCAAGCCCTGAATAAGCGAAGTCTTCCTGGAGGAGAGCAGAGTAGCGCAGATCCGGCAGGCTGGAGACGTCCGTCGTCTCGTCGGTGGGCTCGTCATTGTTCTTCCCGTATATTCCAGCGATACACAGCTTGAGGCGGTCCTTTTCTAGCATCAGCTTCTGCAACCGCTCAATTGACAACGCTTCGATGCGCGCAATAACAGTATCAAAGCGATATATGCGCTCCAGCATAAAGGCACACTTGCTGCAGATAAACTCGTTTTTGCCATCTCGAGAGATCTCCTTGCCCAGAACATGCGAGAGCAAAACCTGCAAATTTAGTTTAGCAGCAGGGTGGAAGATCCAGCGCCTCTGATTGCCACAAAGTTCGCGACCACAAATTCGACAGGATTCCCTCATTTTGCCAGCTTCCTCCTTCAGGGCCTCCTTTCTCTTTTTTCTCTCTCTCCCTTGCTATTTCCCAGCTGGGTTGCTTTTAGCTGACCAAAACATCACTAACTCAGATGGGAGGAGCCAAAAAATCCCTTCCTCACAGATCTGCCTGGCTCAAAAATGCTCCTCCATTCAATCTCACATACGTCTCCGCCCGAATCGCATAGTTGACCTACTGAGGATTTCAGTACCTTAAAGCGCCTCCTTCCAACAAGCTGGACCTGCTACTAAGTCTCCCCCCTCCTCTTTCCCCAGGCTGCCGCAAGAGCGGGACAGATTGATGCAATCCGCAACTCTATTTTGATAGCAGCTCAGATTTCAAGATGGCGGCCGTGACAATGGCTGCCCACTTTTCGCGCAAAGATTCTTGGGGAATGTAGTTGGCCAGCCTGCCAAACGAATAAATAGTACATGCTAAAGATGCCACATCATCACTCCCTTCTACTGGCTTCGAACAGCGCCCTTCTTTTATGTAAAAACGCGAGATTTCCCCGACATCAATGCATTCAAGGAATGTATTTAGCGTACTTCGTATAGAAATTTCCTTACTGACTCTGAAACTATTTGATTTGCTGATTAAAGATAAGCAAAGCTGTATAACCTCGTTTCAATTTAATTACTGTGTTGCATATGCAGAATAACTCCTATCAATCCGAGATTTTTGAATTAGAATAAAATAGAGCTGGAATGGACCATGGAGTCCAGACCCCTCTTCAGGCAGGAGAACCTGTACCATTTCAGACAAGTGATTATCTAGTTGCTTCTTAAAAATCTCCAGTGATGGAGCACCCATGATTTCTGGAGGCATGTGACTGTCAGAAGTAAGTCTTCATCCTGGTTCATCCAAGCCGGGAATAAATAAGCAACATGGAGACTGCTTTGGGAAGAAGGTTACAGTTTATTGAAGAAGCAGAAAGATGGTCCTTGCAGGAAAGAGCAGAGGAGAGGAAAGAGGAGTTGAGCACATGGGCAGTAGGTTTTTATACCCTCTCTAGCCTTGTTTGGAATAGTTTCCTGTTCCTGTGGCATGAACCTTGAGGCTGTTTCTGAGTGTTTGTCTAGGCCTTGATATCTGTGGTTTAATCCTATTATCATATCCTGCTTCCCAGGTGAGGGGGCTAATGACTCCTAGAGTTTGGGTGGGGTATGCAGATCTTCTCTTTGTCTTCTTGAGTGCTCTGGCTTCAACTCTCTGATGGTTTTACATCTGCATTTGTATGGGCCTAAAGTCTTGCTTGGGGCAGAGAGATGGATTTGGGGCCAGGTTTGGTTTTTAAAAAATCCTTTTGAGGAAAAATATATTTTTCTGCCCTTTTTAATATTTCCTTCTCTGGGCTAACTTCCCTCATGACCAACCATCCTCCTTTAGGGAGGATAGTCTTCCTTTTGTAAGTTCTGTCATCCCTCGAAAAGTGTCCTCCTACATGTCCTCCTTTTCGATATTTGAAGATATTTCGATATTTGCAGGGCTTTTTTTTCTCATAGGTTCCGGCACCTTTTTTTGATGTTTTTTTTTTCAACTTTTGCATGAACTGTACTACTCCCCCTATTGGCTTTCAAAAGCCAATAGGAATTACTGCTGAGCGTGCCAAAACACCCGGCCGGCAAATTTTGAACATGCAAGGTGTCTGCAGCAAAGGTGAATTGGCAGGAACTTTGCACCCCTCCCTGCTACCCAACTACACCATCTCCTAGATAGTCCTGAAGATACCTGGAGGAGACTAACTTCCATTTAGGGATGGAAAAATCAAAAAAGAGGAAATGCCATTTCAACGAAAAATTGAATAAGGAATTTCCATTCATCACATCAAACATTGTTTTCTGCAATATTTGCAGCGGAGAATTTTGTATTGCAGTTGGGGGCAGAGCAGCTATTACGAAACACTTGATCACCAGGAAACATAAGCAATCATCAGATGCATCTGCTTCCAGTTGTAAAGTAACAAGTTTTTTTAAAACTTCAAAGTATTCTAAAGATGAAAAACAGCTGCAATGGAGGGAACATTTGCATTCCATACTATACCATAATTCACAATCAAAGTTTTCTTAGTATGGATTGTACAACTAAATTATTGAAAAGGTTTCAAGATGCTAAATTTTCATGCGCCAGGACAAAATGCGAGGCTATTATTAAATCAGTATTTAAAAATTACTGTGACAAAATACCTACAGAAGACATTGAAACAGCAGCATTTGTAACAGTTTTATCTGATACATCCAATCATAATGAAACTAAATTGTATCCAATACTAGTAAGATATTTTAATGTTACCAAAGGCATTCAAGTAAAAATTTTAAATTTAGAATCCATTGAGTGTGATATTGCTGAAATTTTGTCAGACCATCTGCAAGGACCCACCCCACTTTGCATCTTAAGAAGACAGAACTCTTGGAATAGTTCTTCCAACAGGCATCCTTTATTAAGAGAAAATGGTTGCAGGCGTTCTAGACAGGACTTGGTGTCCAAGCTCTCCCATTCAAGGTTTTAAGGAGTTCCCCAATAGCCCCACCCAATCACCCCCTTCTTCCAGCAACAGTCTCAGGCATTACACTCCCAACCCCTTTTCCTTACTGCCGGCTGGATAGAGACTTCAGAGAGAACTACATGAAGGTAATAGCCCCATTTTATGGTTAGTCCTTTTGGTGATATACACATCCAGTTTATTTGAAGTGTACCGAAGGAAGTGAGGGCCATAAAGCCCCTTTGTTCACCCCCTTCCCTTCAACATATGACAGAATCCAGAGAAGGCAGAAATGGTGTTTTCTATAGTTGATAACTAGAGATAAATATAATTGGATTCTGACATCCTGCCCCCTCAAAAATAAGACAGATCCACCTGAAAGAAAACAAAATAGTCAGGCTTGTTAGGATATTCTGTGTGAAACTTTTTTAATAGCTTCGGGGCTCTGACATGACGTTTATGGACCCACTCATTTTGTGAGGTAGGGAGGTGTTTCCAGGCAACTAGGTACTGAGTCGCTCCATGATATCTCCTAGAGTCAAGGATTTCCTTTATTTTGAAGTGTTGTTCGCCCTCCACCATGATTGGAATTGGTGGTGGGGGATTTTTGGCTGTAAAGGTGACAGACGCTCTCTTTTCAGCAAGCTGCAATGAAAAATTGGGTGTATTTGCCTGAGATTTTTGGGTAATTCTAATTCTACTGTTACTGGATTTATGATTCTTTTAATTGCAAAAGGCCCTATATATTTTGGTCCAAGTTTTTTGCAGGGCTGTAGGGACTTGAGGTATTTTGCAGATAAGTACACCATTTCTCCTATAATGAATGGTGTAGGCTCAATCCTTTTTTTATCGGCTTGTGCTTTGTATGCCTGCCTAGCTTCATCTAGTGCTTTTCTGACTATTGGCCAGGTGTTTTGTAATTGTTCCATTCATTCTTTCAGTGATGGGATCGCCAGTTCCTTTGGGGTTAATTCTGGCATGGGGTTGAAACTTTGACCAGTGGCTATTTGAAAAGGAGTATAACCTGTGCTGGAGTGGACTGCATTATTGTAAGCAACTTCTGAGAAAGGGAGTAGGTCCGTCCAATTTATTTGCTGAAAATTAATAAAACATCTTAAATATTGCTCAAGTACTGAATGACAACGTTCTGTTTGTCCATCGCCTTGTGGATGATGGCTAGATGTCAGTCCCTGAGTGGTCCCTAAGAGGGATAAAAATTCCTTCCAAAATGCAGATGTAAATTGCACTCCCCTATCAGAGATGATGCGTTGAGGTGCCCCGTGCAATCTGTAAATGTGCTGGATGAAAAGTTTCACTAAGGCTTTTGCGGTGGGAATCTTTTGGCAAGGGATAAAGTGCACCTGTTTGGAAAACAAGTCCGTGACCGTCCAGACAACAGTATTCCCATTGCTTTCTGGCAATTCCACTATAAAATCCATGGCTATTTCCCTCCAGGGGGCTGAGGGATTTCCCACTGTTTGTAATAGTCCTGGCAATTTCCCTTGCAACCTCTTTTGCAGTAGCACATTTTGGGCAGCTGGCTACGTAGCTTTCTATGTCCTTTTTTATGGATGGCCACCAAAATTGTCGTTTAATTAAGTGTAAAGTTTTTACAAATCCAAAATGCCCTGCTGATTTTGTGTCATGGCAAAGCTGCATGAATGTGACTCTTTGGGTTGTTGGTATATATAACTTTCCCCTACCCAAGGCAACCCGTCTCTCATTGTGCACACATTTTTGTTTTTCTGGAACCATTCATCTGTTTCCAAACTTTTCCGGAATTCAATTCCACTTTGGCTGTCCAGTTGTGGTTTTAATTTACCTTGGGTTCTTGTGGTTACTGTTATATTGGGGCATGCGAGATCTTTCTCCCTGGTAAATGTTTGAGCTTAAATTGGAACTGGTGAAAATGCTGGGACCAGCGATCTTGTTTAGGATTGAGCTTCCTGGGCACTTTCAGGGCTTCCAAATTTTTGTGATCAATCCACACCTGAAAGGGGATTTTGTTGCCTTCCAGGAATTGTCGCCACGTGAGTAATGCCCAACGTATCCCGTATGCCTCTTTCTCCCATACGGGCCAGCGCTGTTCTCTTTCCGTGAGTTTCTTGGATGAATATGCACAGGGTTGCAATACCCCATCATCGTGTTCTTGTAATAGAACAGCCCCCACTGCCACATCACTTGCATCCGCCTGTATTACGAAGGGCTTATCCATGTCTGGGTGCCTTAGTACTGGTTCAGCAGAAAAAAGTCTCTTTAATCTCTCAAACGCTGCGTGGCACTCCATTGTCCATGTTAATGGCTGGCTAGGTTTTACTGAGGATGCTCCCTTTGTTTTTAGTAGGTTAGTGAGGGGCAAGGCTATCTGGGCAAATGAGGGGATGAATTGGCGGTAAAAGTTTGTAAAGCCTAGGAAACTTTGTAGTTGCTTTCTTGTGCAGGGTGGTGCCCAATCTAATACTGCTCTGACCTTCTCTGGGTCCATTTCAATGCCCTGGGGGGATATGCAATAACCTAGGTAGTCTATCCTTTCCTGGTGGAATTCGCATTTTGAGAGTTTGGCATATAGGTGGGCGGCTCACAGTTTCTTTAAAACCGCTCTGACGAGGTTGACATGTTCCTCCTTTTTTTCGGTGAAGATAAGAATGTCATCCAAGTATACGACCCCCTTAAATAGGTGCTCCCTTAGAACGTCATTGATTAAGTGCATAAATACTGCAGGGCCCCCTTGTAATCCAAATAGCAAGACTTTGAATTGATAGCACCCAAGGGGGCAGTTAAATGCGGTCTTCCATTCGTTCCCTTCCTTAATTCTCACGCGATAGAAAGCTTCCCTTAGGTCTA